GGCAGGGCTTACTGGCCGCTGAAGGCCCTGGAATCCACCCCCCGCCCAGGGCAAGAACATGAAGGGAAGCCTCCCAGGCCGAGGGCAGCCTGCCTGTGGTGGGGAGGGCAGCTGGGGCTTGCCCACCTTTGTCTTCAGGAGAGGCAGGGAAGATGAAGACCTGACTTCTCCCCCCAAGGCATGTTTGTGTTTGTCTCCGTCTTTCAGGCTCTGCTCTTCATCAGGAAGGGATCCTTTGCCCCAAGGAGGGGCACGCTGAAGAGCCGGGCTGTTGCTGCCATTCCTCAGTTGGAAAAGCCCACGAGGAATGGGATGGGGTGGGAGTCCAAGCCTGATCCAACCTGCACGTTAGAGACTCTTTCTCGTCGCCTCCCCTCCCTGCTTCCTCCCCACTTTGCTCCTGCGTGGACTTTGCCAGGAGGCCGGTGACCGCAGACCAGCATCTCCCCCCACCCGGACCCTCGAGGTCGAGCCTTGCGGGCTGTCGGCTGCCATGCTGCTAGTCGGAAGAACGCTCCCCCAGAGACTGCGCCCTTCTCCAGCCAGGACAGTCCCCGTGGACCCTGGTTCGACTGACTCTTCCAAGCCAGCGTTTTCTTCTTTTAATTGCTCCTGGCACACGGAAGCTAGGTTGCCCCTCTGTTCAGCCGCCACCTCCTCTGCAGGGAGGCCTCTCTCTCGGTGGGGGGATCCCGCTGGCTGGCTGGCTGGGAAGGGCAGTTGGTGGGACTGGAATTGGTTTCTGGGGACCGTGGGAGGAGGGTGTCTCTTGTTCTTTTCAGTAGGACTTTTATGTTTAAGAAAGATCATGGCTAGTGTGGTGTGAATTTTCTATGGGCAGGTCAGGTGGAGTGCGGGCTTCTTTTGAAAATCCTTTTCTTTGGGTTCAGGCTTGGGGGAGGTTGCCTGGCTGGACTGGCTAGCAGAGGGCATTTCCTGCCCAGCACAAAGGGGGACAGTGGCACTCAGCTGCTTGTCCAGGAACGAGCCAGCTGCCCTTTGGGTCCTGAGCAGCCCCTGCCTGTAGCGTTTGCCTCATGACCAGGGGCTCCCCCTCCCATACCTGCTGCCAAGAGCACGGCTCTTGCCCTGGCAGTTGGAGCTTGCGGGGAGCCCTTTTCAGCCAAGAGCCACCTGCGTGTGTTTGTGGCTGCCCTAATTTGAACCTGCTGAATCTCCCAGCTCCTCATCCAGCCAGCAGGAAGGGCCAGGTGGCAGCCCAAGGACCTTGGGGAAGGGGGGGTCACCTGCTCTCCGCCCCATCTGCCAGAAGCTCTCCTGGAGGCCTGCCTGTCCGCCCAGCATCAGCCAAGGTGCCCCTTGACCGGCTGGCCAAAAGCAGCAGTACCCTTGTAGTTCTAGGAGAGAAGAACAACTGGCCCGGAGCCTTCTCACATCCACCTGCCCTCCTGGATAGCCTGGGTGTGCCTGCCCCACAGTCTGCTATGGGGCAAACCTTGTCATCTGCCTGTGTCAGGTTCCTCACCCCCCACCTCCTTGCCAGAGGCTGCCGGGCAGAGGCTACAAAGCGGTTTCAGTGCTCCTGGTCTGGAATGGGTAAGCGCCGGGGCATGTGTGGATTTCAGGGCAACACGAGACAGCAAGTAGAAAAGCGGGGTGGGGTGCCAACAGCTTTTCCCACCCCTGGCACCTTCCAGCACTGGGCAGTAGAGCCCAAGGCATCGGCAGAGCACCTGGCAGGGGAAGCTGGTCTGGTGGGAGGGCGGAGCTGCCACTGTAGAAAGG